TCCTTAGACCATATTTCTCCCAATTAATTAGTTGAGGTTCTCTCCTTGAACTAGAAACAGCTTCTTCTCTGCTACCTGTACATCACTCAGACAGTCCAGATTATCTATCAGTATAGTCAAAAGACACACTGTCAGTCAGTCAGTCAATAATACTCTTACCCATTGAAGGGATCAGGTAATTAAATTGTAGTCCAATGGAACTAGTCTCTTTGATAGGTTGCTTGAGGACCCTCTCTTGTCTTTCCTTCACTAGTCTGGCTATAAACAACTCCTTTTCTTTAAGGTCTATAAATTAATAGAATATTAATAATTATCATTGATTGATGATGATACACTAACCAGTAATGATCTGTTTCTCATTCTGTGATTGTTCCTCTACTTGTGATGACAGTTTGGCTATAACTTTGTCTTTCTCAGAAATGTTAGTTTTAAGATTTTGATTGTCATCTACACAATAAACATATTCTCTCATCTAATACATGCTGTGTGTATAGTTAACTAACCAATAATGATCTGTTTCTCCTTGAGAAATTGTTCCTCCTTCTCTTCCAATAGTTCGGCAACTTTGAGTTTCAGTTTCTGATAATCTTCTAAATTAATAGAATATTCTCTCATGTATTATTATGTACTGTTGATACACTAACCAGTAACAATCAGTTTCTTCTCTTCAATATCAGCAGCTTCAGCTTTAAGCTTCTCATAACTTCCTATATTATTAGTAAAAATACAAAGATAGAAATAAAATGATATTTGTTGCTTATACAAATTTGCACTGCATGTACAGTAGCCCATAAATACATGTACTATGATTATTGCTAATGATACCATATATGGTAAGTAGAGCTCACTCTACATCAATCTCATTATTTCTAATGCATGGACAATTTGACCTAAATTGAGTACAGGATACTATTTTCATACTCAACATTGTCTAATCCACTAGTATTATAATGTAAACAATGTACACATAAACAACAGTACAACACAATAGTACCTAATTCAACAGTTGATTTATCTTTTTCTGCTTGCTCAAGGAGAGTGGTAGCATCATCAAGTTGCTGAGTAAGTGTTGCCTTTTCTTGAAGAAGCTGTTGCTGCTCTTTGTCTCGATCTTGCTGTATCTGCTCCTTCTCATTTATCTCTCTTTGAAGCTGTTCCTCATAGAACTCTCTTTCTCTTTGTAATTGCAGACGATTTTGAAATATTTGAAGCTGTTTTTCGGTTCCTAAATTCTTCCAATCACTCAGTATCCTTCTTCTTAGTTGATCTTGATACTGGTCCAGAGGTATTACACTAGTAGACCAATCATTATCACTAGTATATCCTATACAGTAACAAAATAGTGGAGAATAAGAAATACACAAATTAATTACAGTTAGTTACTATGGTAACCTTATTATTGATGGATTCATGTTTAATCATTGTATGTGTGACCTCTGTCAGTTTACACAGTTAACCACATGAACATATTATTGTATATAAATACACTGATAATAATATTTCATTCACTCTAGCTCCTATTAATATCAGTGTTTCTGTATCTGCAGTCATTATATTTCACTATCGTACATAGCAGGAATGAATTGGTAATAATTAGTATCATAGGTATAGTTACGTCAAATGCTCTCATTAAATATTCATCATAAGAATTACTTACTTTATTGTAATATTATCATTACTAATTATCATTACATATTCAATACACATTGTATCTACTACTGTCTACATGTACTTACTGAGTTCAATAACTGCTGTATCAGCGTATGGTAGTCTTCCTCCAAACTCAATTATCCAGTTAGTAGTTGGGGTCACACTCCACACTGAGACAGAATGCCTGTATCTGTTAGTGACATTGTCTGGTAGATTAGTCTATAAAATTAAATTGATAATAATTAATTTGTGTATGACAGATTAATTGATTTGATATCTGGTTAATAAACACACAATAACTAACTCACAGTTTTATAGTCTGCACAGTGTGTTTTATGTAACACAAAGATCACATAATAAAATTAATAATACACAATATATTAATAGACAAGTATACACAACTGAGTGTGTTATTATATCATGTGAGTCCTCAATTAAGAACTTACTAAGTGTCTGCATGTACACACATACACATACACATACTAATGACACACTAACACACATACATGTACATCTATACATGCATACACATATAAAGCTACATGTAAAGCATGCATAATTGCTCACACACATACACACACATGTACATGTTACATGTACACATGATGTACGTGTTAGTACACACATACACATATTAAAACATATGCACACATACACACAAATACATGTATGTACATACACAATGTATGCAATGTATATAAAATACAATTTATTTTAATTCCAGCATTCACACTCTATCAATTGTGAATCTATCTTTACACACACACAGACAGACACATGTATATTAACACATATTTAGGTAAAGAAACAAACAAAACACAAAAACACACAAACACACATTCACACTAAAAACAGACACACACACACATACTGAATACCAGCATTATTCATCAGTAGTTTTCACTGAGTATCATAATATGTACATGTACATTACAAACCTCATGAGTTACAAATTTAGTTAATCACTTTATGTTTTGTTATCAAGCATCATAATATAATACTTACCAGTTCTTTCCATTTTCTTTTGTTAATGTCCAGTAACCATACATCATAGGCATATGATCCACACACCACTAGTAAGTGTGGTCCTGAACTGGTGGTAATCAGTACACTGGAATGACCATATCTTCCCTCAGGCCATTGTACTGATCCTCCAGGATTAGGTAATTCTAATATATCCTAAGAGAATAATAAATTAAAGTTTAATTGTAAATCCACAATTTGTGGTCAAATAAATCATGTAATCAAAGCCCATCCTACAGTATTAACTCACCACTGATGTCTTAGTGAAACTTATCATATACAGTTTATTACTGACTCCATTATCAGTATCACCTCCAAACATTACCGCAGTGTTATTAGTAACTGGTGTTAGAGTGAAGTCACAAAGAGGAGGTGGTCTGTCTCCAGTAACAACAGGAGATATCCATTGATCTAATAATAATGTACAAACATTCATGTACACTTACTTACCACATACACACACATACATTATACACATTCATCATACATATGTATGTGTATATGTGTGTACATTATTATTTATACATACACATCATGCATAGACACACATCACTATCACATAATACACACACACACACACACACACACACACACACATACAGATAGACTCATGCCATGACACACACCATCACACACACCAAGCCTGTACACATCACTGGCGGATCCAGAAAAATTAAAAGGGGGGTTCCATTTCACTTAAGTAGGTGTGGCTCATTAATTTTAATTAAAAATTTGGGTGTGGCTCATCAATTTTAATTAATAAAATGGAGGAAAAGTGCTGCAAACTGACTGCAAAGAATCCAAAGATACTGCAAAAAGACAACTTCTTCTGCCAAAGAGGGGGTTCCATGGAACCCATGGAACCCCCCTAGATCCGCCACTACACATGAAGGAGAGGTCCAGGGGGTCTCCTTCTTTGAAGATTACTAATCTATTCTGGTACATTTCAGTTATGATTGTTAATGAATAATTATATAAAACTCATGGAACATTGTATGTGGGTAATTTGTGACTCATGTGATACAGAAATTTATTTAAAATGATAATAAATAACATGAACCTACACACACACACACACTCATGTCACATTAGCTTATGTATAGATACATGTACATATACAAACATCACACACACAGATACATGATAATACTCACACACACATAACATGCACATTATAGATACACGTCACATACACACGTCATACATTCATAAATTCTCACATACATTATATGCACTATCATACACAGACACATCATAATGTATGTATTAGTACACATACACACACGTCACATATAGACACACGTCACCATCACACACAAACACATGACACACAGAGACACACTAACAAACACACTTAATTATTAACAATCTGTTTTATATACATTAATATAAATTATTCAGTTTGAAATACTCATCAACTATTGTGTATCAATGATGAGAATTACTGACCTGATGAAATCCTGTAATAATGTATCTCATTACATCTCAAATCACCATAAGAATTATTATACTGAGCGTTAGGTTGCTTAGGTGTAGAAGATGATCCCAGTCCTCCAATTATTACGAGATAGTGTTCACTGTCAAAATGAACTGATATTATTTCACAGTGGCCCTTCATCATTGGACCATGATCAGAACTAGAAGGAGATAGTTCCCTCCACTTGAATGAATCCACATTAAAACAATATAAGCTGTTTTTATAACCACCAACACCATGTCCACCGAAATAATATATGTCCTTCCCAATAGCGACTGATGTATACCCATAGGTACCTGGTGGTGGGGTACCAGTAGTAGGTTCCTGGTCCCAAGCACCAGTTGGTAAGTGATACACCTCCATCACATCATAGTCTACTCCAGACCCGCGCCCACCCCACATATATAGGTAGTCTCCTACCTTTACTGTGGAGTGTCCCCATCTCTCCACTGGTTGATAGTCTATAGAGAACAAGAGGTACGCAGTAACAGAGTAACAGTAATATAGTGATGAGTTAGAATAAGGACAGGATACAGAGGAGTAAAGTAAGTGAGAGAGTAAGAGAGACAAAGAATGAATGAAAGAGATACAAAGAGAAGAGAATAGTGGCCCTCACTTTTAGATGCCATTCTTGCAAAATACCAGCCCCACCCAAACTATGCAACATAAGACCACACCCATTTTTTTCCAAAATTCATAAAATGAGTTGTGGTGCCAGTAGAAAGTCTCCTGCTGGTTCTACTAGACTCAAACCAAATCCCAACTTCTTCAACTCTCCTAGTCAAAGTGATGGGGTAGGTAAGGAGGGGACTGTACCAGAATCCTTATTGAAACAAGTTCGTAAAACGGTTCACTGAACCTGTCAAACAGCCTGGGGTAGGAGGCCGTTGTGTGAGACCATATATATTAGAGATATTAGTTTCATTTACTCTATTATCTATGGTGAGACTTGTAACATGTTTTTTTAATTCACCAAAAATGATTTTTTGATTTTCATTTTTATGACGCATTAATGAACATGTGGATGTATGAAAGTTAGTGGGTGAATGTGTATAATTACAGGGGCATTATTGTTATTCCTCCTAAACTGTGGAGACTCAATATTGATCCTCCTGATGGTAGTACTGCTTCATTTGATGTTGATGAGAGATGGTGGGACCAGGTCGAACTGACTAGACTGGATCTATCATCTAACGAAATCAAACAAATATCTGAAGATATTGAAAACTTTAATTCATTGTCAGCACTTGAGGTGAGAATGAAAATATAAGATTTTTAATATCATTATAATACATGTTTAGTGTACATGTATGTATGAATTAAATTGTAATAGCATGGTATACTGCATGCTTTGAGACAACTCCCTTGAATGTTGTAGATTTGTTTATAGTACAGTTTGTTGTTTATTTTTGTATAAAGACTCATAATTATGTTTACATGTTGTGTGTTATTGTTATTATAGGTCCAGTACAATGAGTTAACATGTCTACCTAATAATGTGATCAAACTGGATAAACTATCTAAAATATTTGCAAGGTAAATATTGTATCCACTCTCTACCATATGTACATGTATATCTCTCTCCATGCATGCATGTACTTATCTGTCGGGTATTGAATTTTATAAATTAACAAAAATCGTTTTAATTTTGCTTTTTGGCTGATAAGGACATCAGAGAGAGAGAGAGAGAGAGAGAGAGAGGGAGGGATCTCAGCTTTTATTTCATGTGCTCCTCCTATTAGCTATACTGCATGGACAGTATTTCCTCAATTTGTCTTCATAACATTGTGCATTAATTGATACATGTACATGTACATGCGTATTTATAGTCATTTTCAGTTAATAATACATGTACATGTACTGCATGTTTTTTGTTTTTCTTGCTTTTAGCTGCTTCATTGTAGTTAACTTATTAATTTTCTAACTTGGTTCGTACACTTTACTAATCCATGATAGCTGTACCTAAGCAGTGGCACACACAATTTGAAGGAAAAGTGATAGAAAAACAGGAAACATTTCCTATCACCATGTACATATGTATTTCTCTCTCCATTTTCTCATTTCTTTACTTGTTTCTTTTCTTTCTTCCCTTTCTTCTTTCTATTTTTCTTCCCTCCTTTTCCCTCCTCCCCCTCATTCTATTCCTTTCCTTCTTTCCTTTCTTTATGTATATCTCTCCCTCCCTCTCTTTCTATTATAGTCTCTCCTATATGTTAGGAAGGTTTGAGTCTCTTCATTATCTTCTCTTTGATGTTCTCCTCTTAATTAAATGAATGAGAGCTGACATCCTCCGGAAAGGAACAGTATTGGTCCTCTAGTATCTCTTGTATTGAAGAACAAGAGACCACATGTGACGGCCAACCTCTCCCTCGTCCCTCAAGATCCCCTCGTGACCATACAAGTGAGAGATCATGTGACTTTTGATGATAGTCATGTGATGTTGTGTAGGTAAGGATGAGGAGTGGGTGGAGTGAGGGGAAGTGTGGTGAGAAAGGAAGTTGTGATGATGAAAGCTATGCTACCTCCTGAGTAAGAATATTAATGTGTCTTTTAATAAATA